CTGTTTGAATGCTGTATGTGCAGAGTTTGACACTAGAAGGATGTTTTCACATTCATCTGCTGAAAGTGGAAAGTTTCTCTGTGCTCACTGAAAATCTGATTTTAAGGGGCGGGGCCTAGCAGCATGAAACTCCTCTGTGTCTTTGCCATATTTCAGTTGAATAACATAACAACACCTCTCACCTTCCAGCCTCAGGCATCATTTGTTAAGACAGTGAATGGTTCATGAGAAAGTTACAATTAGTCCACTCTCTAACCTTGACAACAAGGTCTGTCCTCAACTCCATTAGTCTACAGACAGGGAGGTTCGGTATGTGTCCAAACCAACAAAACTGCTATCTGGAGGTGAAGAAAGAACATCATCAAGGACACATGATTTTCCTATTTTGGCAGCATGTCCCCCAGTTAGTGAGAAGGGGAATATGGGAGGATATAACACCCATCCTCATGAGCTTGACCCATTTAAAACAAGTGATTGTGAAAGGTCTGACCACACAGGCACACAAACAGGCAGCGCAGGATGTTGGTTGCAGATGTCTTCTACTGTGGAGCGTTGATGCTCTGCTGGACCAGGCTCTGTGTGGCCCTGCAGGCCTCACAAGGACAGCAACCAATCCCGGCCTGGAACCCCATGATGACAGGTCAGACTTGGCTGAAAACTAACGAAACCTATTTTACATCTTATGTTGTGATGCTGTTGTATAGCTTGTCAATTAGCGTGTTTTGTTCAAAAGCTGTGTTTGCATGTGGTTCCTGCTTCTAGCTTTAATCTGTTTTTGAGTGACTAATGTAATTTGTTTTGTATTTTCCAATTCAGTGACAGGAGACCACCACACAAGCTCCACAGAGACCACAGATAGTTTGGAAATGAAAAACAACGTCCCTCACCGTGCACCGTGCTTTGTGGATGACATATTTGCAGCGTTGCGTGAAGGTGTGGGGCACGACGATGAACTCACAAACCATACTCTGACTCTGTTTGGAATCTGCACGGTTTCTGATAACTCATCAGGCTCAGTCTTATTAGAGCTTGCTAAGGAAACAAACCAGAGAGACGGATTGGAGGTTTTGCATCCAGCTGGAGGTAACAGTGCTCCCTGACTGCAATTAATTTTTGTTTTTTTGTGTTTTTTTTTTATCTTACGACATGTCTTGTTTTCTCCACCAGCGCACTTGGCAGAGGAAGATGAAAAAGGAAGGCTGACGTTGACTTTTGACCTTTCACAGTCTCTTTTGCTCAAGCCGAACCCTGTGCTGCTCCTGGCGTTTGAGAGTCCTCTCACAGGAAGAAACCTGGACGTTACATTCACTGGTCAGTCGCTGCAACCTAACACGCAGGTAAAGGAAGGTCTGGTGTGAATGAAAAACAGAAAAATCAGTTGTATATGATTTTTATCACAGATATCTCTGTTGTTTCCCTCTTGCCGTTTTTTCTAGTCTGTGTGTATTTCAGGAGAAACGCAGTACTTAATGCTGACAGGAAAAGCATCAGAGGGCGACATTCTTCAGAAATGGAGGCTTTCTATTTACACAAAATCCCCTGATATGAGTAAGACATGATATGAGTAAGACATAATTTCTTGTTTCATATAGAATACATGTGACCCAGTTCCTCTCTTTGCAGAGCAAAGTCTGAAAGACATGCTTATTGGTGGAAAATCAGGAAGTAACATCAGCGTGACTCCACTTCTGCTTTTCTCAGGGGAAAGAGGAACTGATACAAGGTTGTCTTTGTTCCCTGTTGAACTTTTACCAGACTCCTGTCAGAGTGGTGATCAGTAACATTTCTCCTCTCTCTTTCTCAGATATACACATATTTCAGGTTGGTCCCCGGCCTCTTCACAGACCTCCTTCCTCTGTGACCTGAAGCGGTTCCTGGGCGATGTCCTGCCTCAGGCACACCCTGAGTCCCCTAAGCTCCAGCTGACCGCCTTACAGTCCCTGCCTCCCCTAACACTAGGCTCATCCTCCAGCGAAACCCTGCTGGCAGGACTGATGAACTCCTCGGCCCTCACCATCTTTGACTTCACTAGCTGGGGCTCCATGCTTCAGGTGCATCATGGAGAGTTGGCCCTGTCTCCTGCACTGTTGGAGGAGCTCAGGCAGAGGTTGGAGCAGACTGTGTTGCACATAATGGAGGTGATAAGGGAGGAGGAGGTGGGTCACAGAGCCACGGAGAGGTTGGGGAGGCTCAAACAACTCGGAACCGGCAGCAGGTGATGTGTACCAAAAAAAAAAAGTCTCTTAAAGCAGTTGTTCCTAACCTTTCTTTGTCAGACCCCACAGCCAGATGAAGTCAAATCACTGAGACCCCCGTCATGTCCCAAAAGAGGATTCTATTTAACTATTAGAAATATAAAAGTGGATGTTAGTTTGCATTTATGCTACCACCCCTTGAAGGTGGATATTCCGACAATTTATAAATTACTTTAATAATTTTTTTAACCGTTAATCAGCTTATTTAAGTTATTTCAATTATCTGTCCATTACTTTTAAAGCAACAATATGCAAGAATTGCTGTTTTTTGGTGCTTCTACAGGTTGCAATTCACTTATACACCACTGTCGTAAATATGGACAGCTGTATACTTGCACTAAAAAAACAACAACAACACACAATACCCCCATCCCAGACAGCCATACAACATAACCCAAAAAGGGGGAAATAAATCTAAAATAGAGAAATAATTGGATAAGATTAAATAATGATAATGATAATACACAACATTTATTTTTCATCAGAAACGTATGTTAATTAATCATATGGAATTAGGTTAGTTATTGTTTCCAGTCCACTATAGGTATCTGAGTTTTAGGGTAACCAGTCATCAGAAGCCATAGCATGTGGGGTGTGCCATAAACTAGCTAGAGAGGGGTCTTCCACTAGAAAAGTGACCAAACCTTTAGAAATAGTTCTTCTTTTCCTTTTGAGACCGTCTGTAATCCTTCATGAGGCAGAGTCTGTACCAAGAGTAACATTTGGCGAGGAGCCAATTGTGCAAAATGTATTTTTGTACACGTACATTTTTTTGTGATTACATTATTTATCAAAAAGTACAGAGTCGACAACTTGGCTAGCCATCAAACAAGTGCCACAACACAAGACAGCGAGCCAGCTAATTGTATTTACTAGTGCAACAGCAAGAAGGTCAACTCGCTGTCTGCCCTGCAGCCTTTTTATTTCACAAAGCTCTCGCCAGCAACTAAAACGACTAAAGTAAAGCTATCTGGCCATCACTGAAACTGTCCAACAGAAACAGTAGGGGCGCACAAAATAGCAATTCTTGCATGTTGTTGCTTTAAACCACCACTATTCAGCATGCTGAATAAATATGTGGATATATATTTCTTACAAATCGTTTCCATCTTAGTTGAGCTGCTTCACAATCTGTCCATGCACCCTTTGGCAACAACAGAAGTACTCCTGCTTAAGAATCAAAGTGCTGTAGACTAGAAATTTAGATTTCTTTGGTAGATCCTTTGCTGTTTAATTGATACTTCTGTTTCCTCTTCTGGATAGAACAGGAGAGAGCCAGTACCGTGCATTTCTCCTGCTGAAGGCCCTTAAGACAGTGGCCCGTACGTATGAGGTGCAGAGAGGACTCCGGGCCACCAGAGCTGACCCCAACAACCCAGTGAGGGGCAACACGTGTGGGCTGAGGAGCCTCACTGTGTCCCTTGAAAAGCTTCTTGTGGCTCCAAACACTGCTAACATCAACAACTGTCATGGCTCATGTGCTTTCCCCCTGGTCAATCCCAAGAACCACGCCATCCTGCTCAACTCCTACATTGAGAGCGGGAATGTCGGGGAGCGGGCACCGTGCTGTGTGCCTGTGACCTACGAAGCCCTGGAGGTGGTGAAACTGAACGAACATGGGACTTACCTCTCCCTTGAAGAAGATGTGGTGGCACGGGAGTGTGGATGCCGCTAAAGCTGCGTTCTTGGATTGTACAGAAGATATTTTACATGTTTGGTTTCACATAGTCTTTGGTTGGTGGAGGAACAGTCTAATTGTAACTTAACTGTAATTTATTTATTCACACAGTATTAATGGTAGTAAATGCACATGTTCATTCACAGAGGTCTCTTTAGGCTATGTACTGTCACACATATTAACAATGTATTATTTGCAGTAGATACACGATGACCAGTGTCTCTCACAGTTAAACATGATCAAGTTTATTGAAACCAAAAATAATTGTGATCCATTATGGGTAAATATCTCTCTGTATCTGTCTGTATCTTTATATTATTAAATGCAAAGTATATTGAATGCTGTGTTCTTTATTCAGAAACATGCTGTTGTGACACTTGATACCATATCCTTTCTTTAAACAGCTGTAATCATTCTTTTATTTTGGGTTTCAGGATTACTTTGTTGCCAATCGGCTTTTTTCTTCTTCTTATGGCTCCAACTTCTTCAGATCCCCACCACCACATGAAATTATCCCATATGGAAATCTGGAGGCAGACAGCAGGACACAGTCCGGTTCAGAAAGTGATGGCTCAAATACACGTAATATACAACCACATGAATATAGAAAAGACGTCTTTATAAATGCACTTGCTCATCATACAGTCACTTCAAAGATTAGATTGTATATTTCCACCTGTAAATCGAGTGAATATTCTATATTTTGTAGTTCAGAGTGACAGACAGATCTTGGAGCTGTTCCACTGTGAGTACAGAAAGCACCTCAGTGGTATAGATGTACTAGGAAATTGATTAATCGTGTTATAATTGAGCAATCAGAATCAGTTGTGATCTTGACCTTGTAATTTATGACTTGCTGTAGTAGTATGAATCAATGAAGTGTAGTCATACTTGTAATACATTATAACTGTTCTTTTATCACCTCATACAGCATTTAGTAGTCTTAATCTGCAGTCAAAGGCACTACTAGACATTTAGGCCTCCTAAAAACAGCTTCCACTGAGACAATAAATATCTGTAACCCTGGCATCGTTCAGCACCCCTGTCTACTGTAGCTCTTGGCCACCTTCCACCCCTCCCCAGGTCCATCAGATCAAGTACAAGCTCTGCACAAATGTAGAGAAATAACCACTGCTAAGTGTGTGTTACTGATGCTTTGCATTAATCTCAAATAACCAAACTGAATTTTGTCATATTGCTCATGAAGGTGGGTGGATTATTTGAAGCCCAGAGGCCTCATTGTAAAATGGGCAGCACACTGGTGGTTTAAAGGAGTAACATAACAAAGAGAGTGGAGCAGCCTGTTGGTGCTTATCCCTGTTCTGAGCTGTAAGTGGGGGTTCTGTCTAAATTCTCAGCCAAACAAATGGAGTCTTTTTATTTCCAGTTTCAGACAAAACCCTCTCCAAATATCCTTTAGCTTGATCAGAAGAAGGTTTGGTAATGTGATATTAGCCTTGTGCAGGACCGAACCCATTCATGTTCTGTAAATAATATAGAATAAAAACCACCATTCGGTATAAAGTATCTTCAACTACCTGCACACAGAGACATAAACAAAGGCTTCCACTGATTTGTATCACTGAGATTGAAAACATAAAAATGAATCCAAAGTCAACCTAACAGTTAAAATGAGAGCTTGGCTACCTGCAAGTGTTAAGGAGATAAACAGTACCTGAGTTATTGAACCATCCTGCAGACTCCCAATGAAAGACCTTATACCTGTCTCCTCAACGAATGAATCCATAGCATCTAGAAAACAACATAATGTAAAAGATAAGATGAGAAAGACTTTTTTCACACATATAAACAGGTGGAGTATTAAAGGTAATCAAATAGAAACTATAAGTCAAGAGTACTGAAGTACAGAATCTTTCTACTAATGCAGGAACAAACCCAATAAAACTTTCACTCAACATTATATATACAGTTTCTTTGTCATTCTCATGGGATTTAATTTCAGGTGTGTTTCCTGTCTGTCTGTAATGTGACTATGATTACAGTACTCACCATGCAGCTCATTGACCCCCGAGCTCACAAGCAGTACCACCAGTGCCAGCACTACGCAGCGGTTCATAGTGAATCCCTTCCATGGATTTGGGACATCACTCAGATTTTCAATGGACAGAATCCGGTCATAAGACACTGAGGACAGACACACAGGAGTCAGATGCATGTATAGCTGCCATAGTATTCACTTGGTTGGTTGTTAAGGGAGGACATATTTCTTACTTGTGATGTTTTCAGATGTTTCAACTCCGGCTCCAGAAGTTGGATCCAAAATGAAACTGTAAGTTAAAATGAAGAATTTAGTTTTTATCATGCATAAAAACAACTGTGAATCAAACTATATGTGTCTGTACTGTCGTGTGCACAGTGTTTCAGACCGTACTGTATGCCATAGACTAACATAAGACCGCTTAAAATAGGCACCTGCAGCTAGGTGAAAAGGACAAATAGGATTTAAAGAAGCTCAGAGTTTAGTTTTATTTGAACCTCTGCTCAGAAAAGAAGAAACTTACTTGATTTGACCCCTCAGTTGTGTCTCACCACTGAAGTGAGGGGTAATGTGGTTGTGTTGATAGTGATTTCTGTTCTGCCGGGACCAGAGACAGAGTTATACACACCATGCACCATGCCCCTATGCTCCCTGATTGACAGGCACAGATGACAGCTGTTGAAAAAAGGAAAATGACTTACTCATACTTACCACTAGTTGGGTCATAGGTGGGGAACTGTTAACGGCATTAGTCTACATTCCAATGATGAGAAAAATGAGATGTCAGATGGGATAAAATAATGAAACTTATATAAGTCTTGCCCTATTGGAGTAGAATAAAGTAGAGCTACTCTTTCACACCTATTACCAGTGTGTTAGTAGGTCTACCAGTGGTGAAAGTCATTTGAGGTATGTCCACTTCACTTGAGTATTTCCATTTTTTGCTACTTTATACTTCCACTCCATCACTTTGAAGGGAAATGTTTAGTGTATTTGAGATCTACCAGTTTATACGAGGGATGGGACGATATATGATATTACCGTTAAACATTGGTAAATTGAACATCCTCACATGGCGTGACTTGAAAAAGCTGTCCAGTTCTCCAGCATACATTCCCATGTTGATTTCCGGATTTATTTTGAACAAGGGAACAACGAGCAGCCCACATCTTTTCAGTCATTCCAAAATCCTAAGCCTGTCAGTGTGGCTGAAGGCTCGGCCTACCTGATGTATCCCACACAAAAAGAATAGTTAAACCAAATGTGTGGAAATAATGTAGATTCTAAAACAAATCAGATCAAATGATTTAATAAATATATGTGTTGGCATTTCAGGTAAAGTGATTCCAGTATGTTTTAGTGCCATTTTAGCACATTTTAAAAATGCATCAAAGACCTACAAAGGACAGGGACCACAGTAGTGTAACGGTCCACTGTAGATCTTATAGTCAATCAAAGCACTTGTATACGTTTCTGTGTGGTGGCTGTGTTGTAGCTTATTTTCATGATTATCACAATAATATCGTGATAATCACAACATGACATTTTCATATCGTCCCATGCATACATTAAAAAAACATGATGAAGTTATAGAATACAATGCATTGGGGAAACATAAACAACTAACAGTATATAAAGTACTTAAACTTAGCTCCACTTTCACAGGCTTCAGCAGTAACAATGCAATTAATCCAGTGATAATGTACATTAATCCAGTGATAATGTACATTAATCAGTAGTCACAGGGTGGTTTAGTAAATGGGGGGCTCATTTAGTGCGTCATATTTTCACAGTAACACGTAATGTTGAAGAGGACACTCCCCTGACAAACACCGCAGCCTGCCAGCTCTCAGCGCAGCATTAGGTGGAGAGGAGAGGACAGAGCAGCACCTGGTGTGGACGCTGGCCGGATGGTTAAATCTAACCTACAGACGATTTTGAATAGTCATTGTTTTGTTAGAGAAAAAGAGAGAAACTTATCCGAGATGCCTGTTATTGAGCAATCCAGTAATAAACCTGAAAGTGAAAGGTATGTTGTTGTAGTCGTTGTGAGTTGTTACGAGCTAACTTAGCAAGCTAAGCTAAGTTTAAAAGCCACGGCCTAACGAGGGGGCACGGTGTATTTCCTGGAGTGGCTAAGTCTATTCCCCGTGTTACTTGTTTACATAACAGCACTATTTATCTCAGTTGACGGTGCCAAAACACACTGTCAGTCGCGTTTGGATCGATACCTTGTCAATACATATCTTCACTATAACGCCATAAATTACAGAACCGTATCCCGATTGTATAACATTAAATGTAACTCTGATATTCAGCAAATAGACTAAATCGTTGTCAACGCTGCTGTTGATATCCACGCTCTGGCTAGCTATGCTAAGCTAACGCATAAGCTGGCATGTAAAACGCGTTAGCTAAATGCTAATGTGCTAGCTAGTGTCGACGTTGTCATTGAAAGCATTTTATCCATCGTGTATGTTCGAACCTGCCTCATATAAAAAGGTCGAATAATCGTTTTTGATCGGTTTTAATCGGTTATTTGAAGTGCGTTGCTCCGTAACTTCGTATATGTAACTTAGCGTTATGTCAGCGGCGCTAGCTGCGTTAGCTAACAGCTAGCGTTAGGTTTCGTTATATCGCAGATGTTTTCATATTTTCTGCGTCGCAGTGAAAACAATCAGTGCCAGTATGAAGTGTTTGTGTTTCACATTTACTTTTAACTTCGCTCTTTTTAAATACGCTTAAATAACCGACGTTATGTAAAGTTAGCTCGCTGCTAACCATCGTAGTTGAAATGATGTCTGAATTGATAATTTGTGGCTTCATCGGTTGTTTTTTTCCACTTCGACCTCAGGTGCTAGCTGGTGTGGACATCCTCTCATTTGTCTTGGATTATCTAGTTTCTGGTTTACACCGGCGGCAATCATCCGAGCTAGTTAAACACTTAAAAACAGCATTTGCAATGTGTTTTAATCTAACACAGTGCGATATTAACCATCGTGGGGGAGGCTGCCTGTTTGCTTGTTCACGTCCAGTTTAATGTGTCGATGGACTGGAAATGAGAGCACAGTTTAATGCCTGGAAATATGGGTCATCATTTTACACAACTTCTGAGCGATTAGCCTGAGGGTGTTTTTTTAAAACCTCAGTCATGTTCCGACAGGATTTAGTTCGGGGCTGTTTTTCTTGCTCTCCAGTGTTGTGAAGGACTCGTAGGAAATTTCCACTGTGCTGCGAAGGAGGAG